CTGTGCTCAGTCCCAAAGACTTTTATCTCTTAATTTTTGTGATCCAGAAGCTTGGTATACAGTGATACACGTACAAAAGTAACAAAGTATGTGAAAAAAATTAATTACTTCAGTGCGTGGACACTTTTTTGGAGGAAGAGCAAGTGTCCTAAAGAGAAGCAGTTTGTTCACGAGTCATCATGTCTCCTGTATTTCAGCCTAGCCTAAGGTATTTCTCAAGCACTATCAGTTGTACATTGTGAGTCAATAGCAGTAATGTCATTAGGATGAGTGAAGAGTACTAGACTTTTTGTTTAATTTCTGAAGCTCAGCAAAGAGGAGTATTAAAAGTATCTATATGGGAAAAGCTTATCCCACATGGGAGGGAAAAATAAATATGCTCGTTGCATTTATAATTTTGTAAGTGTGTGCCCCTGGCGGAGATGATACAGTTCTAACAGTTATGACTCAGTGAATTATGGTATCCTTAGAGCAACAGTAGTTCTGATGGTGCAGAAGCTATAAGGAGACTCTCAAACAGCACTGCCATTTGAAGTGCTAAAACTGCAATCCTTCTGTGTGCTATGGCGTTACAGTTAATAACAATAGGTTTAGGCTGCCTTTTAAAAAGCTGGGTTTGTGCAAACCCTGGCTCCATGGGGCATTATAGCCCACATAATGTGGAAAACGGAGTAAAGGAAGGATCTTGAAGTAAATTAAAACCAAACAAAAAACTCTACCACCAAAAAAGTATATAGGACCAGCAGAAAAGTCTGTGTAGTGCACGACGCCAGCATTGCGTACTTGACGTTAAATAGTTACACACAAACTTCTGGTATTTTTGCAAGTAATCTAGAGGGAGGCCAGAGATGGGAATGGAGGAAAGTTTTTGAGTATTTTGCTCTGGAGGAACCTAACCTTCCTCTGAAAAGTAGAGGTCACTCACTTTACTACCATTTCCTAGAATAACCAGCAGAATCCTCAATACACTAAGGGTCGTTAAAGAGTTTGTAGAGGATATTTAGTCTTTATGCGTAGTGTCAAAAGTCTGACTTATCTCTGAGCTGCTTTGCTTCTTGGCAGTACGGTCATGTTGCCAGCATCCCGGTCCTAGCAATGTATCATTTACAGTGGCTTTCCTGAAGTGTAGAGGGCAATGTAACAGCTCTAGACTAAATGCTCGGATCTGAGGTGGGGAACTAGCTTAGAATTTAGCAGAGGAAAGAGCAGTGCAATGGCTTAGCTGCTAGGCTTGTGGGATGGTTGCATGGGTAGTCGGGTCTGTTTTTTAAAGCTTATAACAAATTTATCTTCTATAGCAAGAGCTGTCAGGGGTGGGACACTAAACTGCAGACCCCATGTACTTTTTCTTTGATTCTGCATTTTTACCACAGGTTGTATGTTAAAAAGTCTTCAGTGCTGGCCTGTTTACACTCTTATTAAAGATTATATTAAAAATATGACTGATGCAAATTACTACAGTCAAGCTTTTAGGAGTGCTGCAAATTGCACACAGGCCCTTGCCCTAGGTGACATTTTTGCATGTCCAGTAGGTGGAGCAGCAGACCCACGGATTAAGGACTGGAAAGCACACTCATGTTCCGTCTCTGCACCCGTGTTCTGTCGTGCAGGACGGTCACATTTGGTATTTACTTTGATTGCCTAGTCTTTTGGTGCTGTCTTGTGTCAGATAAAAATCTGTAGGTTCAGTGGAGAGGAAACTGCACCACATGACCTATGCTGGTACAGTGAATGTATTGTTAATGTTTTGTGTACTATTGCAGAGTATATGGCACTTCCCAGAAGAAGAAAAGCTTATGAAAGAAGTGAAAACAATAATAAGCTGTGTAATTTGTTATTTTCTTGGGATTTGTTTTTTTTTGAGATGAACACATCGTGGTAGTAAGACTCAATAAAACTTACTACATATGAAAAAAGGCAGAAGGTCATGATTTGCCAAATGTCCTGTCACCCAAGAGTAGACCTGGCACAATGTGTTAATGTGACAGTCTCTAGGCCATGTTGAGGAACTCTGACTTCTAGTTTCATCTCCCACCCTTCACATAAATGTGGTTATGCAAATTTAGGTTTTTGGTGCTGAGCTGTGTAATGGTAGTGGAGGAGTCTCCAGCTGTGCCCATTTCTTTCCCTAAAGCTTTCAGCAAGGTATAAGGAATCCAGTCCTCAGTGAACTAGACTGTGACTTTTTTTCAGACACAAATACTCCCATCAAACCTGTGTGATGGAGAAAACTGTGTGGATACATAGTATGATTTTGTCTGCATGGCCAGAGTAAATCACTTGCTCAGTCTGACCAAGACTGGTGGCATTACCTTCTATCCTTCCAGTGACAGTAAAGTTGGAAAGTTTATTTGGGGAAACTGGAAGTATCTGCCTCAAAAGGAAAAAAAATAAAATTAAACACATATATTTTTTTAAATACAGTTATTTTAGGTTGCAATTGTTTGTACAGTCTTAACAAACACATTAAATGTATTCCTGCTAAGTCTCTTGTGTCCTCTGAAAGATGAAAGAGTTAACTCTTCTCATGTTTTGCAGCAGGAGTTGAAAGTGTGTTCACAGCTGATCTGGTTACCAGGAGCTGGTGCACTAGCAGTCTCAAAAGCGAATAAATGAAAGGGAAAATCTTCACAGGTCACAACTAGTATAGGCAGAGTCTTTATGTTAACTAACTTTCACCAGAAGTGCTGTCTTGAACTTTTTAGTCAATAAAGATGTTTACTAAAACTGTGAAAATTATGCTCTTAATTTTTACAGTAAGAATTTTTTCCAAACCTAAAGTGAAAGGTTTGTTCTTGTGGAGATTACAGTACAGAGGTAGAAGAGGATATTGTTGATTAATTGTTGTTACAGCCATTTCCTGGTAATCATTTGTATATCCTACTATGCAGAAGATTATGCACTAGTTGTCACACAGCCACGTCATGTGGTTGACATTGGGTAGGAGTTTTTGGTCATGAAGCTCTGAACAGGGCCTGGCATTTTTAAGTGTACAACCTTAAATAAAGCAGGCAATGTGCCCATCACTGATTCTTTCTCAGTCTACCTAGCTAAGGGGATCATTAGGCAGATTCACAGAAACTTGGAAATTTCTAGTCTAGTTGTCAGATCGTATATCGCATTTGGATTTGTATTAGAGGAAGGGAAGTCTTTTGAAGTAAAAGCTTTCCAGTGATATACTGTCATCACCAAAGAAACACTAGTTCTATTAGTTCTTTTGTGTATTCTTAAAATAAGATTTGAAATGTTATAGAAGTGGATAAAAGCTTATGGCAGTGTGTCTGTACTACACTCATGAACACTGTCAGTTGTCACCCTGGGGTGCTGCTGTTTGATTGCTGATAAATGTTAGTGTGGTCCCTAGTGTGGCCTTTGGTCTAGGCCAGTGATCACTCTGTATCAATTCCTATGCAGTTCAGGTGATAACATGTGCCCGGGTGATTGCTAGAGAGCAGGTTACATGAAGCCACTGCACTTTGGAGGAATTGTCTTAAGTCCTAGAGAGTGGTCTTTGTGCTTAATTTATATACCAGGACATAAGTAGTTTCTGTGTAAATCTGGCCTGTTTTAGGATCAGTCCTTGAGTCTTGGAGATGAATGCACCACATAGGTTTGTTTCTACAGTCTTTTGCTTCCAGATACATTACTACTTTTTGGTGCAGTATAGTAATATAAAGATACTGCAGCATAGTTCAATCATTTTTTTTTATTGCTACTCTCGTTCATTCATGAGAGTTCTGTAATATGTTTTGTGTATTGTTCAGAACAATATTAAACTGTTTTGAGGCAGGTACGCCACACTAGCAGTGATGCTCATCTTTTACGCTGGTATACACTTAGTTATCTAGTTTGGGTTTGGTTTTTTTCTCTGGAATACCTGAGTTGTTTTGTTTGGAGGTTGTTTGTTTTTTTTCTATTAGGTAACTGGTGAAAAACTCCAGTTGCTCTTCAGTCTATTGTGTACCAGATTTGTGAGACAAAAGGCACATAAGTTTGGAAGATAATAAAAAATGGCCTGTATCTCTACGGAGACCCAGAGCGAATCCTTTAGGGTGGATAGAGTGCAAATTATCACTCCTTTAAGTCATCTTCATTTAAATTTGCCTGGAGGATAAACACTAGTTTTGTCTCTGCTATTCAGAATGTGTGTTCTTGGTCTGTTCTGTAGCTGACTGTGCTTCCTGTCAACCATAGAACTCAAATATATATATATAAATTCTATACACAAAGAAGCCTGAGTAAGCTTAGAAATAAGCAATTGACTTGCCTCCAACCTGGTGGGAACTTTCTTTAATGTTTCTCTGTCAAGTTTTCTCTTTTATTCATGTCATAGAAGAGGGGGAGTGCCTCAGCCTTGGGCCCACAGTAGGGTGGCATTGTCACCTTCTCAATTGTAGTATACAATGGGTTGCTGCTGTGAAACACTTGACTATCTGTGTCACAAGCAGCATGCAATTTTCTAACTAAAATAAACAATTCAGGAAGATTTAAGCCACTGCTACCCAGAATAAGAATTCATTATTTTAGTACACGACTATTGTAGTTAATCAGATGTTGCACAAAAAAAGGAGGTAAATTCCATTAAAGTAGTGCATTGCTCTGAGTCCAGAAATAAGCAGGATAATGAAATGAAGTTTAGTTTCCTATTGTTAGTTGTTATAGTTAATAAGGTATCTCAGAACATATGGTAAAAGCAAACTTAAACTGCTGAAGTATAAAGGAATAAAATATTTCCAGAATTACTGAATTGAAGTATGGACACTTGTATTTAAGGCAATCTGTGCAGTTCTAGTCTGATGTGTATAAACTGATTTTTATACTTTCCATTAGATATTATTTATAAAATTTTATATAGCCATCTTTACAATCTTATAAAATTATTTGGCTGAAAATCTGTCCTTTTGATGTTAAATATTAAGTTCAAATAAATACAGGTCAGTCTGATCTGGACATTACCTGAAATTCAAAAAGTATTCAGCACTTATTATCAAACTTTTACATCTAAATGATAGCCAGCTTGCATCATTGCTTATATTTTTTTTTTAACATTAATTTAAAATTTCTTTTTTCTCTCATTTTTGAGGTTGGAGATGAGATAGTTCGTATAAATGGATATTCCATTTCATCATGCACCCACGAAGAAGTCATAAACCTCATTCGTACAAAGAAAATAGTGTCCATAAAAGTAAGACGTAAGTAACATTAGAAAAGAATACCTGTATCACTAATGGTTGCTGCTAATAGATTGCTAGTGATCTGTAGAAAGTGTTACTTAACAGAGCATTTTTCTTTTTCAGATGTTGGCATGATACCCGTCAAAAGGTAATGGTACTGAAAACAGATTATTCATCTTCATATAGCCTCTTCAGTATCCAAAGAACCTGTGTCTTTATCTGTACATTTGAAAAATTTATGAATAAGCATCTTTGTAGCTTATTAAAATGTTATGTCCTTTGTGACAGACAGAAGTCTTGTTTGATGAGTCTGACACTTTAGGTCCTTTGCCTACTTAATTTAATCAGTTTCTATTTGCTTATTATTTGTGGAAATTACCTGGAAATTTCATTAGCAATGTACCTAGCTTAACGGAGAGCTCCACTACTTCTTTATGTATCTGACATTTGAGGACAGTTGTCAGTGGTTTCCAAAGGGACTTAGGCAAAAAAAGGAGGCCACATTTCAAAGTAGCTTCTTGAGCACATTCACATTTATTTTTGTCCCTATTATTTTAAATGAGTTTTTTCTTTCAGTTCAGCAGATGAACCCCTTAAATGGCAATATGTGGACCAGTTTGTGTCAGAATGTGGGGTAAGAGATCAGTATTTTATTAAGATATTTTCTGGGAAATCTAATGGTTCTGAAACACTTTCTTCTCTGACCTTATCACAGAAATATGTGTTTCTTGTTACAAGAATCCTGGAAGAAACATCTTTTGTGGTATGAAATTATTCTGGAATTATTAGATAAGGAAAGGACAGGATATAAATGAATTATCTTTTCCTTTTTAATTGGCACTTTATTTGTCTTGAGCTTATTAGCTTATCAGGATATAGTTCTACTGTATAAATCTTCAATGGATCATTTGGCCTATCTTAGCTCTGTTAGTGGAGGAATGACAGGTATGAATGCAAGTGACTTCTGTGGGTTGCAGCAATGAAAAGAGAGACCACAATTACCATTCTTTTGCTTTCAGGAAGAAGGACTTAGTTAAACAGTGAGCACTCTCATGCATTTTTCTAACTCTTTTGTCTGGGAACATCTGAATCATTATTTTGCCATATCACTTTCCTCTAATTTTACTTCACCTTTTTCTGAAGACAAAGTTTGACTATTTAAGTAATCCTCTCTAAATAGAGAGAAAAGTTCAGTCTTTTACTTCAGCCATGTAGCTTCACCAGAATGGCTGTGTTTCACATTCATCTCCAGCAGGACCTTGGAAGAATCTTATCTTGATGTTGGCAGGGTTTGGTCCTGGCTTCAGGAAGTTTTATAGAAGTCCTGATAAGACTTCAACACAGGGTAACATCTGTAGCATTCTTTAATTCCCCTACAGGAAGGAAAGGGCAGTGTTGCTGGTCTTGCTTCTTCTGGAGGGAGGGACAATAAAGAGAAGAAAGTCTTCATTAGTTTGATTGGTACAAAAGGCATGGGATGCAGGTGAGTACATGTTTCTTATTTAATGTCACTGGTTTGTTAAGTGAGACATCCAAGGCAGTTATTTCCGTCCTTCATTGGTATCAGATAAATGGAGACCCACACTAGATTAGGAATGCAAAATGGAACACCAAGATATCTGTGGCACACATTGTATAGTATTGAAAAAAGTAGAAATCCCTAAATTACAAGTTCTGACTTAAAACAAAACAAAAAAATATTGTAAATTTACAAATAAGAGCAGGCTGAAAGTGACATGCTACAAGTTGTCATGGAATTTAGTCCTTGAAATGCTTTTCCTTTTAAAAATACTTTTAAATGCTGCTCTGTGAGGTAGCAAGTTTCAGCACTGTTCAGTGTCAGGTTCACTTCTTGAAGTTAGACTGTTCTCTGTGACCCTTTCTAGTGCTGATAAGCCATTACACAGCTTTATCCAATTCCTTAAAAGTAATGTTGGGTTTGAAGGATTTTTAGAAATATGAACAGATGCTTCTCAGACTCCTGTCCTTGCACCTAGTTATGAAGATTTTGGGATGAAATGGGTATTGGTGGATTTCTTATAAATTTAGGAATATATATTTGAAGTTATCAAGATCGAACTGCACAAAATATTTTCTAAATCATAGGAGAAAACAACTTAGACTTCTTACTGTATTATATGGTATTTAGCTATAAATATTATCCTTTAAATGTTTGGGTTTTATGTTGCACCAGTATTTCCAGTGGTCCAACGCAAAAACCAGGCATTTTTATCAGCAATGTTAAGCCGGGTTCTCTTTCAGCAGAGGTGGGCTTAGAGGTGAGTATGCCATCTCCCAAGGTATGTACCACCAGGAAGTACTGTTTGGTATTTACTACTTCAAGTGTTCTGTGTCACAAAATCCTCCGCTGACTTAACAGATGGTTAGGTGTGTTATTTTTCCATGGGAAGGAAATACTGTGTGGTTACATTTCAAATGAAGCAACTTTCCTAAATTTTAAGAACATGGGGATCAGACCAGCAGTCCATTGAGCTTAATGAGTCTCAAAACAGTGGCAGTAGGAAATGCTAATATGGGAGGATGTGCAGGTCTGACCAGTTTCTGCTCTGTTTCACTTGTACTCTGCCAGTACCTATGGTTATCAAGACTGTTAAAGCATAGAATATTTCAGCATAGAATCCTAGGGATTGGAAGGGACCTCGAAAGATCATCTAGTCCAACCCCCCTGCCAGAACAGGGTCAAAGGTTGTATCTTTCTTTGTTTTCATGTAATAGATGTACTAACATAGCTTCTCTGCTAAAGTTTGTGTTGAATCTTTTAGGTTGGTGATCAGATTGTTGAGGTAAACGGAGTGGACTTTTCTAATGTGGATCATAAAGAGGTAAGATCAACGTTTCCTAATTCCCTGAATACATAGTTGTCAGCTTAGTAAGAATCAGTCTGATTTTCTTGGCTGCAAAAAATATGTTTTGATATTGGGCTACTTAACCAAAGAGGTTGTATATTGAATATGGGAATTTGAAGATGCAAATGCCTACTGTCTTGTTTAGTTCAGGTAGGTCTTCTGGAAATTCCATCCTTGACACCGGTATTTTTCATATTATATATACAGGCTCTTTATCACTTAATTCAGACTAATTTTTGTTTTGTTTTATTTTGCAGGCTGTCAGAGTGCTCAAAAGTAGTCGTACTTTGACTATCTCTGTGGTAGCAGGTGCTGTAAGTAGAACATTTATAAGTGAGTAGAACATTTGTGAGAATTAATATGGGGGCAAAATAACTGGTAAAAATAGATAAGTAGTAAAGCTGTGTTTCTTTATAATGTCTGTGTCACTGAATTCTGTCAAACCAGGGCATTTCTTTGCTAACTATCCTCAGTATTCTCAAATTAAAAGTTTCATGACTGTGGACCAATATAAAACCATTCCCACAACAAGGAATGGAAATTAACTTTGTCATAATGGTTTCTCATGTTTGAGAGTTTCTGTTCTAAGAGATAGCTGTTTCTGCTGAAACATGAAAGGTTAATTGGATTGAAGTAAATTCATTTTTCCTCATGAGTATCTGATGGGCTAGTCTTATTCCAAATTAATTTAATGTGTAACTGTTTTATCTCTTTAGTGTATTAACCCATTGAAAATTGTTCAGTTTTCCATTTTCACTGTTAAGTACAACAGAACCACACATTTGGGCCAGCTGAAATTAATTAAATCTTCCCGCTGACTTCAGTGTGGCTTTCAATAAATGTTTTAATGTTTTTACTGCTTTAATCCTTCTTATAGTAAGATGAATAGTTATATACAAGAGGATACTCAAGTTACATAGACTAATCAAATATGGTATTTTCTAATTGTATTGCAACTGAATTAACTGTTGTTGCTGACTTTAGTAGTTGGATGCCTCTTTTGAGATATTTAGCATATCATAACTTTGATGCTAAAAGTGGAGAGTAGCTCTTTAGAATGAAGTGGTCAAGTCTTTCAGAGTCTTTCAGAAAACATTCCTTAGAAAAAGTCGTGTCAGGAAATGGCAGATGTGCTAGTAGGTAAATATGGAAAGCAAGATTTATTAAATCTTCTAAGCTACTTCCTGAGGGCTTATTTATACATGTAGCTATCTTAAGGAATTAATGGTTTAATTGAACTACTCTTACAGTAATAAAACATGCAGTTGCCCAAAGGCATCATAGAGATTGTTCAAACAAATAGAATCATAGAATGCCAGGTTGGAAGGGACTTCAAGGATCATCTGGTCCAACCTCTCTAGGTTGGTTCAGCACCCTGTCAAGCTGAGACTTAGAACCGTCCAGTGTGGGGGAATCTACCACTTCCCTTGGGAGACTATTCCAATGTTTGACTGTCCTCATGGTGAAAAATTTACCACTTGTGTCCGATCAGAATCTTCCCAAATGCTTCAGACTAGTTGATTAAGCTCCAGGTGCTTAACATCCTAAGGACTTAGTTTCAACTCCTAGATATGTTACCAATTGTTAGAAAAGATGAGACCTACTCCAGCATGTACCACTGGGGTGGCATTCTTAAAATGGTGAATTTTTGCTATGGAAATCTTCTGCTCTACCCTACTTCACCTTCCATGTCTTTGCCTTTCTTCAATACAAATCTTTGTACTGAAGAAGAGGTTGCAGAAAGAAACAGCTTCTCCACTTCTGTTTTTTGGTCAGCAAAGACTGCTGCAAAGACATTCTTCACTGCCCGTTTTTCTTCAAGCTGTCCACTTTTAGCTTTACAGATGTGGAAAAATTGACCTTCCTAAATAGCAGGAGTTTTTAATTTCAGCGATGAAAATTAGATAAACTATATCAAAATGTTTCACATACCACCATGGAGATATCTTTCTTGAACAGAAAATAGTGCTTGTGTCTTAACTATAAAGCAAATGAAACAGAAGCAAAAATAACTAAAATGCACCAGCTATATATCCTGTTGGCAATGTATGTTCCCTGAATGATGGTACACAGCAGCTGGGCACAAGAGCATTAAGATGCAGTAAATGTGTAGTTGTCTTCCACACATGTCTTACACATGGTCAGTGTGCTGTTCTTTAGCATGGCACTGCTCAGCTAGATTTCAAGAAAGTACAATGTGGGTTTTTTCTGGGCAACACACTGAGCATGTCTTTGGCATGACCCCTAAACTGTTGTTGCTGACTTTAGTAGTTGCATGCCTCTTTTGAGATATTTAGCATATCATAACTTTGATGCTAAAAGTGGAGAGTAGCTCTTTAGAATGAAGTGGTCAAATCTTTCAGAAAACATTCCTTAGAAAAAGTCATGTCAGGAAATGGCAGATGTGCTAGTAGGTAATTGGGTTTTAATTATTTCCTAGAAGAACAACATTAATGAGATACTTTCACAACTGATTTGGGTGACTGTGTGATTGCAGGGAAAGGAGCTGTTCATGACTGAAGAAGAAAGGCAGAGGGAAGCACGTCTCCGTGAGCAAGAACGTCAGGAGTTAATGCATCAGAAGCGACTTGCGCTGGAGACAAACAAAATCATCAAAGAGCAGCAAGAGAAAGAGAGATTGTAAGAACTCTGTGTAGGACAATCTGAAAAGTTTAGCTTGGGTTTGTAAAGGGCATGGAAGACAATAACAACTGTGAGAAGATTCTCAGATTAACTTAATTTTGCTGTTACAGAGCCTCAATTCATAAATCCTTTTCCTTTGGTGCTCTGGATATTCTGGGCTTTCAGAACTGGTGTCTTTCGAACACATCTGGCATAGAAGGGCCACTTTGTTCCTTGACTGTCATACCCCTGTGATTCAGTGATATACTAGTTATTTTCCTGATGCCATTCCCTCATTCTTTATTTTTAGCAAGATGGTTACAAATTTTATTATTTTACAATCATATGTTATAGAACTGTCTCAGGAGATACAGTGACTTACAGAGTTAAATAGATAATATGCTGTTATTGTCTAGATGGTCACGAATGTCAGGGTTCTTATGAAAGTATATTAAACCCTTAGTATCTTAAAGATTACTTTTTAAAAGGAGCATTTTTCTCTGATGCATATGTATTTACTGTCTATAAATTTTACTAAGTATATGCTGACATACTTGGTGCGAGTTCTTACTCAGAAAATATTATTTTTATCATTGTGTCCTAATTCCTCTTATTGTAGAAGAAAACTGGAGATTTCCCAGAAGACTGCAGAGGAAGATGAAAGATATCGCAGAGAAATAGAGCAGTAAGTAAAAACCTACATAGGCAATATGCTGCCTGAAAAAGAGTCCTTAGATCTGGCTGAAAACTTTCTGGATCTTCTTTTGTACAAACAAAAAGTTGTATGTATTTCCCTTTAACTTAATATAGGGTCCAATGCTTATGAGTAAATACACTACAGTGACAGAATAGGTAACTGATCTGAAAATCAGTACCTAGAAAACATGAGGGTTATAGTGATAAAAAATTAAACGTGAAATTGAGGTTGGGTGCTTATTTTTAAAATGTTAAAAATATATAGATAAAATTCAAGTTCTGTGTCTCAGAACTTGCTTGTTCTATAGTCACTGAACCACTACATTTAATTCTAATAGGAAAAAAAACCCAAATTAATACTGCAAGGGCAGGGATCAGGAAAGAAATAAAAAAGGACAGAAGAGTTTGAAAACATGGGTATACTCTGGGCTTTACAACATACCCACTTAACTTACATTAACAAAAAAACAACAAAGCCAACACAAACTAGGAAGTTTGTTCACAATCTATCAGAGTGTACACAATGTAGAATTTACCCTTTTCAGTCTATCAGGCACTTTTGAAAACAAAAGCTATGTAGATTTAGACTAAAATGAGGACTATGTAATACTAATTATCTTGAATAGAAATTTTAGTCCTAAATTTTAAGTAGGCTTTTGCTTTTCTAAGGACAGCATTAATGAAATTAAAACTGTGGCACTGAAAGCAGGGAGTTCTATAACCTACTTTATCCAGGAAATCTGATTTTTTTATTATAAAGGTCTATTCTGGTTTTAAAAATCTGTAATTCTAGGAATGGGACACATTGGAAGATTGTATCATAATAGGGACAGTACTAGAAATGTAACTTAAGCATTGTTTTATGTTTGCAACTTTAACAGTACAACAGCTTGTTATCACAGTAAATAGTTTTACTTCTAAATGAGTCTGGGAAATTCTGTAATAGTGTGAAATGGCACAGTTTGCAGCCATTTTTATGCAGTCTTTTAGAACTAAGATTGACCCCAAGCATTCATCTGCCAATAACCATTGGCAGACAAACAGTTTCACTAGAATGTAATGCTTTCCTGTATTAATAGGTTGTGAAGATGACCCTTTGCTCCATTTTTAAAATCCTTTCTACAGCAATTCCTTGTATAAAGTCATAGAATCATCAAACGGTTTGGGTTCAAAGGGACTTTAAAGATCATCTAGTTCCAACCTGCCTGCGTAGACAGGGACACCTCCCTCTAGATCAGATTGCTCAAAGCCCCATCCAATCTGCCTTTGAACACTTCCAGGGAGGGACAACCACAACTTCCCTGGGCAACCTGTGCCAGTGTCAAGGGTGCCTTGCACTAAATAATTTCTTTCTAATATCTAAACTTAATCTCCCCTCTTACAGTTTAAAGCCGTTCCCTCTCATCCTATTGCTACCTATGCTCATACCTGTCCCTGCTCATTGCAAAGGGGTTAGACTAGATGGTTTTTAAAGGCCCCCTCCAACCCAAACTATTCTATGACTCTCTTATCATAGAATGGTTTTGGTTGGAAAAGACCTTTAAGATCATCAAGTCCAACCCTTAACCTAGCACTGTCACGTCCACCATTACCATGTCCCTAGTTGCCACATTTATTCATCTTTTAAACACCTTCCAGAGATGGTGACTCAACCACTTCCCTGGGCAGCCTGCTCCAATGTTTGGTAACCCTTTTGGTGAAGGAAGTTTTTCTAATATCCAGTCTAAATCTTCCCTGATGCAAGTTGAGGCTGATTGTTCTCATCCTATTGCTTGTTATTTGGGAGATCAACATGCACCTCACTACAGCCTCATATCAGGTAGTTGTAAAGGGAGAGAAGGTTTTCCCCGAGCCTACTTTTCTGCAGACTAAACCTGGTCAGTTCCTTCATATGCTCCTTGTAAGACTTATAGTTTAGACCCTTCACCAGCTTCATTGCCCTTCTTTGGACATGTTTGTGCACCTTGATGTCTTTGTTGTGGTGAGGGGACCCAAACTGTACCCAGTACTCAAGGTGCAGCCTTACCAGTGCTGGAAACAGGGGGGACAATTCCTTCTATAGTCCTGCTTGCCACACTATTCTTGATACAAGGTAGAAAGTCGTTGACTCTCTTGTCCACCTATGTATATCCACATGTGACCACATGAGGATATTTTTAAAGTTTGCCATAGCTAACATAGACGAAAGATAATCCAAGTATAAGTAGCATCATAGACGTCTAAGACCTGGTACATTGTGGCAACATATATCAGTTTACAAGTTCAAGACAGGCTACAGCCAATAATAGATTTGGGATCACCTAAAGGCACCATATATGAAGCTACAAGCTGTTAGGTTATATAGGGGTTCTTTTATGACCTACTTGGGATTTGCTGAATTTTCCTTCAAAATTACCTTTTTTTGATCATGTCTATTTTCTAGGTATCTTCTAGGTAATTTTCTTGTTTTATAAGCTCCTCTGTCTCATCAGTATTTAGTTCTTTTTGAGAAGAGTCACTTTTTGCTGTAGTCTAGGACTATGTGTTTAGGAGGCAACCATCAGCATGGAGATAAGATAGAGAAATAAGACACACTTTTAATGTATAATTTACCATTGTAACATCTGATTTATGCATGTGGCAGATGTTCTGTCAATTAGTATTTTAGTAAAAACTGACTATTTTTCTAGTAGGTATTTCCAACTTCAAAAAATGAGAAGTTAGTAGGTGAGAGATGGTCTTTGGCTTTAGTTAAGGTGACAGTCACTATTACAGCATGTCACTCTGAGCTTAATATCTGTGCAGATGTTTATATAACCAGCCTTACAAGTCTCAATATTAAATAAGAATTTTTTACTCCATTACATTATATTTTTACAAATTAGTAAACAAAACTTAGATTGATGAAAGGAATTTAGTTTGGGGGAAGGGGCAATTTATTGTGTTTTTTGTTATATAGGAAATAACAAACATACTGAACACTAAACAATTGTAATGTGTGTGCATTGCTGCTGCTGCTCAGAATTCCTAGCTTCATTTTTTTTTCCTGTAGGATAACAGCAGAGGAAGAGAAATTTAAAAAGGAGTGGGAAGAAGACTGGGGTCCTAAAGAACCTCCCAAATCTCTAAAAACTGTAACTGCAGAAGTGCACTCTGCCCCCAAACACAAAAGTAAGTAATTTATTTCAGCCTGCTTAGGGAAGGTGTTTGTTTCAGACACGTCGTGGAGCTGTACGGAATATGCCACCAGTTTCTGGCCAAGCTAAACTAGCTACCACTCTGTTATTTTCAGAAGACTGGAAGCCTACGATAGATTAATTTAATAGCTCTTATTTGCCAGTTGCTTAGCTCACAAAATCTATATCTGCTCAAACAGTCATGGTTTTAACAATCGGGAGCAGCAAGAAAAAGGGGGAAAAAAAAAAAGACAAAAAAGACAGTTCACTAAGGAGTTGCCTGAAGTGTTAATCTCGTCAGCCTGGGGTTTTGATGCATTGCTATCCATGTTGCTTCTCTTCAGTGGTTTAGCTACTCAACCTTTTCCAACTGATTCTTGCATCAGTAGAGTTGTGCTGATTTCCACTAGGCCTAAATGGAAGCAGTACTGCATTTTTATATGGTATGTGATTGTTTTTATATCCATGTAGATAAGCAGATTTGAAATGCTAAGTTATACCCACATGACTGCTTTTATCTCTGTGAAGTATAGTAGTATATAGTAATGAGTAGTATTTTAGGCTTTATGGGCATTTTGTTATTGGGTTTTGTTACTTTTCAAAATGAAGGTATGAAAAAGAGGAAACAAGTGTTTCTGTTCTTTCATTTGTAATTAAGTTGAAGCTTTCTAAATTAATTATGTCAGCAAATAATATAACAATTTTTATGTTTAAGAAGAGATCTCGGGATGTGTTTCATGGTAGAAAACTAGCACTAGATTTGCAGTCTCATTTGGAGTGGATGAATGCACTTTGTACTATTCCTGTTGTTACATTTTTTCTTCTCCCTTACTCTAAATGAGTGTGGAGATTAGGATTTTGAGTATTTTTGTCTGCTTGCTTCTAACTAGAGAAAATAGATATGAAGTCTCTGCTTTAGGCTTGGAGGAAATTCAGTGTTTAATTTTCTAAATCTAAAGATCTTTTCTCCGTCCTCTCTTACTTTGGCAGTTTTGGGGAGCTGTAGGGATGTCTTGAAGTGCCCTTGTTTCTCTTCCATGAGGAAGAGTGAACAGCTTAGTTGAGTAAACAATATATTTTATGGATTTAAAAAATGCAAGAGACGCCATTGTTGCAAAACAACAGTAAGACCATAGACAAAAGAAGAGAAAAATCATATAATCGTAGAAATTCACAACTTTAATAAAGTGGTGTTCTTAGATTTTGTGATAAATCTATTTCTTGACAGCATGCTTTCACATCTGATTTATTTTTTTCTCAAGCTAAAATATTTACCACATCCTTTATGTGCATATCACTTCCTTCAGTTCATGTTCTTTTGATAACTATCTTGAAAATGAGTGATGATGGTATAGTGATATTTACAACCTTCGAACAAAAATCTTATATGCTGGGAGCTTGGGTTAGCAAATAATGTAAGCGTATACTAACTAAAAGAACGCAGTCAGAACTTATGAATCAATTCCTAGTGTCCTAATCATGAGAAAGCTAGGCATGTTTCTAAGAACTTGAAAAATTCAGGCATCTGTCTGTGAGGTGCTGTGTGTAGTAGCAGATCAGTTAATATCTTACATAGACCATCCTGCTTTCTCAAATGTGAATTATCTGTAGACTTTGAAACATTTTCCTTTCTATTTTGTAATGTTCTCCTCCTACTGTCATTTTCCTTACTGAATCTGTCTTTTTGCTCCCCTGTTTTCATTTTCCTTTTTCTTCTTCTCATCCATAGTAGCAAATCTTTCACAAACAGGCTATAGTCTGCACAGCCTGACAGTTTATTTGATCTTGCTGGGCAGTCTGCTTCAGAATTAGCTGAGAGAATGAGGAGGTACTGTTTGTACCCTGCAACTTTTCCAAGAAGAATTACCCTGAAGTGTAAGTTTAACTTAGTTGTCCAAAGGAATTCAAGATGCTTGGACCTTAGCTTGCAGTTAAGAAGCTAAGTTGGGAGCTAAAGACAGTATGTGGAAAGTGTATTAAAATGTTATTAGACAAAGTAAAAAGTGGGAAGTGCTTCTGGAGCAGGTATTGCATAATTTAAGGGAGATTGGCATTGGTTCCTAAACTGATTACATTATTTTTTGTGTCACTTTGGGAAAGTCACTTAACTTCTCATGAATGAGAAACTGAGATAGGGAAATGTTTATTTTGCAATATCTTTTATTAATTTAGTTTTCTGATTCTTCAGGACAGCTTTCTTGTATAGCATTTACCCTGATGACAACACAGAAGAATGCTGATACTTATTTTAGAAGCCAGATATCCCAGAACGATGGTTTACTTAGAGGAAAAGCCACCTACCTCTGCAGGCTTCCCTTCATAGCAGAGCAGGCTGGTTTGCCATATGCAGATCCTAACTGCTCTTCAGGGTTGAAGGAAGTTAGAAATGTATTTGATTTAAGCAGGAGCTCAGTTGTTTGTTTTTTTTATTTTGTGGAAAACTGTTGCTAATTTTTATTTCATTAAAACATCTAGACACACATGACTGATCTCTTTTTCATTTAATGGGAACCTCCAGTTAGACTGTCATTTCTGTCTCCTCACTCCTTTCCTCCTTTGTTTCTCTAGTAGATTTAAAGGGAGTTGCACATGACCAACTTGAAACAGATGACATGGATGAAGTGATCGTGAAGCAGAACAAACAGGTTTGCTGTTCAGCCTTAACTTCCTATCCTGATTCTGTTTCTTCCTGTGTTTCCCTTCCTCCTGACAGTCAGCCTTGACACTGAACTGATCATTAGGTTTTGCTAGGGCCATATGTGTGGTCCTTCAGTAGCTGATAAAAGATCATGACACTGTTGCTGTCATTGCTTTCTAAAGATACCTTGATACAAATACACAATCTGTCAATCCTACGAGGTGGATTATATTGAGAGCTGAGTGTGTTACCAGTGTTTCTTATAAAATTATGGTAACAATTTTTTTTGTTTTACTTAGTAGTATGGTTTTTACTGTTTATGTACTTGGCTCAAAATATTTTATCCTGGGAAATTGAGCTTATCTTGTCTCATCAAATGCCACTGTGTTCTGCCAGAAGTTTGAATACCAGTTTTGTTTTAAGAGGGCTTGTTAAAGCTGATGTAGACTGTGAACATAGGAATCTTAGCAATGCATGTGGTTGTATAGTTCTGTATGATTACTTGCTGCATTTGTTTTGCTTAACACAATGTGTTTATCAATAAAAAGGGTAACTTGTCACTAAATGTACTAGCACAATTTACTAAGAAGTTGTCTAAGACATTGTCATGTAATATTGAATCTTTGGTGTTGCGCCATCAAATAAATTTAGATCAATTACATGTATTGGCATGGATTGATCTGAATCAGTCCTTGACTTTTCTTCAAAAAGCAACTTTTCCTTTAACTTTTTGTAGCTTTTGGATGGTTTTATCGGTATGAAGGAAAATTTCCCACAATCCGCAAGGTACAAAGTTTGATAAATGAATTTGTTTGCTGTGTGTTTCAATTGTTACACCTTCTTTTTCTTCTTTTCTCTGATATTACTATACGTTCTTGATAGTAAAATGCTTCTTCTTTTAAAGTGTGTACCAATTAAGATGTGTCATGGGTGCATCTGCCTAGGAGTTTGCCATTTTGGATTTCTGAAGTACTTCTAGCTGCAGCTGGAATTTTATGTCAATGTCTTGCAGAAGGTGTTCAGTATAGGTGACAGTGCATGTCTGTTCTCCAGAAGTCCTTCAGAATAGTGTATTAAGAAAATACAAAGACAAAAAAAATCAGTGGGAACCAAGTATGCAGTTCCCAGTTATACCTTTGCAAATCTGCTAAGAGGAGTGCTGAAAGCAAAAGGCTTTTAAGCAGAACGAGCAAAAACTTTAAGCTTGCTAGAACACTTGTGTCTGCAGAGCTGCTGCTAAGGGATTGCAATTTCAAATTATTGGAATTTCACATAACAGGTTTCTCCTGCTGTTGCTTTTTTTTTTTTTACTTCTTTCTGTGTGCATTACCCATATTCAAGGGGTTTTGTAGTTGTGCTTGTGTGTTTTGGTGTGTTGGGGGTTTTTTGTGATGGCTGATGGTAATTAACTGGGGTAGAAGTGTCAAGTGGAGTTCCTCTGTCTAGCTCTTGAGAACTCAAGGTTTCTGAGGAGGTCAGGATTGTATCTGACAGGTTAAGTATTTGTGACACTGTTTAGGACTATTGCTTTAACCTTCTGTGTGTATAGGAAATGCCTGGTCTCTGCATGAGAGACTAGGAAATGCTAGTACACTCCAATACCATTTTGTACTGCTAGTGACTGTAAATCATGATGGATCTGTAACTTGTGTGAAAGTGAGTACACTTAAGACTTCTATCTGACAAGTATAAATACATGTTATGAAAAATTCAGTCTCTTGACACTCCAATTTGCTAATTGCTTTTTTGTTTTGTTTGGAAACCAAAATTTTCGTCTGTACTAAAAATGTTTTTAATAGGAAGTGAAGTGAATCCATGGGGAAAATGGATGGAAAGGGTGATTCATCTGTTGTAGCTGAATGCAGGGAATACAGCTAAGATTGTCTGGTATATGTTCATATTCTGAAACACTCTGGCATTTTGTACTGGCTAATGTGCCTTTAAAATCAGTAGTTTTTTGAATGTACATCCCTAGCAGGTTGACATGCCAGGTGTTACGCTTAATAGACAATACTGAATTTCTCTTATAATTTATTAGAGGAAAAAATAGCATCAGCAACTATTCTACAGGTACAAACTAATTAGCCTTGAATGAAACATGCCAACATAATTATGTTTATGTTAAAACATGGGTGTGAAAAGTTATTTTTTTTTACTTAACCTTTTAAAAATATTTGTCTCTGATTACTGATTTTTAAAAAAAATGTTTTTTTCCAACAACACCACCACCACTTAACCATGAAGGGAAGGACAACATCCCACTGAACTCAGCAGTACAAAGTTCCAAGTGACAGGGAGAACTGAACTCCTCCTTTTCACTTTTTGATTAATGAAAAGAGAGCATGGGCCCTAGCAGTAAACAGGAGAGGCTGGCAGGAATGTGACATCATTAAAGTAGAAATAAGGAGCAGGGTATATTTTGAAGACAAGGGGAACAGAAGATCCCAAAAGACGGTAGTTTTCCCCTTTGGTTGCACTCTACATGTACAATTTTAGAGTTACTTTGTGCTGCATTAGTTCACTCTCTACTAGTGAGTGGATTTTGTCCAGTGCTTGTAGGAGCTATTTGATTTTTGTGATGCAGTGTTCTTTCCTGGGAGCAATTCAGTTTCTGCACTGATCTAAGCCTTTCTTTTGTAATTGCTTATTTCAGTTGCATTAAAGCATGCAGTGATGGTTTTGGGACATATGCATGAAGATACTTTAGGTATAGAATATTCACATTTACCTATACATGAGCATCTGTCACCTGAAAGTAGTCTTCTATTACTGTAAAAATGTGAGAACAGAGAGATGGCAAATCACAATCTAAACAAAACTATTTAAATATTCAAAGTTTTATAGCCAGCCTGTGTGCCCTAACATTGTAACTTTGCAGAGGAGCAAAAAAAGTTGAACTGTCTGATCTTGTCCAGCTTATATCAATATGCACAGGCCCTCCAAATGAAGTATAATTTTCTGCAAATTGCTGGGGGAATGGACTTTAGATTTTCTTTTAGAAGGCCATCCCCATACTCTCAAAGGCTGTTATTTAATTTTCAAGGCAGACACTCATGTACTGAGCTTGAAGTTTACAGTGTTTTTAGCTGATGTAAAAATCTGTTTGACTAAAACAAAACAAAAAACCACCAAAACAACCCAGAAAAGGAAAGAGAGAAAGAAGTCAAAGAGTGACAGTCTGTGTGAACAGAAGAAGAATAAAAAGGAAATGGAGTTTGAGCAAAAACTTGCCAAAGAGAAAGAAGGAATGTTGGAGAAAGAAAAACAACTGAAAATAAATCGTCTTGTGCAAGAGGTATGTTGTGTTCTCCTGTCAAGTGCAAATTATATTGAAAGAAAATGAGCTGTTTAGTGGAATGTTTAATGGAATTATCTTAGCAGGGACACTTGTTTAATTATGTCAAAGATAATGAAGTTTAAAAAAATTGCTGTTGCACTGCAAAACTCGGTTCCCAAGTGAGCTTGTTTCTACAGTCAGTTTTTGCCCAAGTGAGAATATCTCTGCAGTTAAAGGCTGTCCATGTGTAGTGTTGAATTTAATGAAAGACAGCAAAATCAGAAATAATTCTCAAAAGCATAATTAGTTTTAAAACAAATTTAGATGTAATTTCCTACTTTTGAAACATAATTGTATTGTAATTATTCCTATGACCTTTTTTCATCCACTAATGTTATGGGTAAGGTATCTGAGACAGAACGAGAAGACCTGGAAGAATCAGAAAAGGTGCAGCACTGGGTGGAAAGACTTTGTCAGACACGGTTAGAACAGATTTCCTCTGTGGAGAATGAATCTCCTGAGGTAAAATCCTGACTTTTCCATGTATTGCATGATCTCTAAATAACTCACTAGTTGTCTCCCAAAAGCAACAGTTTTTTACCAGAGAAAAATCTGTCTTCATTTTTCCCTCTCAGTCTTTACTCTAAGAGGGGGTGGTAGAAATGTCAGTAATTGGATTACAATCTATAGCATTTGCTGTTCCTATATATTATGGATTTTTAAAAATTATTTCAATAAACCAGTTTTATTTTGTCCTTAGCAATTTTATTGTCTCATGAAGTGCTTGTGGGACATGGTACCAATGACAAAACTGAGATAAGAATACTCAGCTAAATGTTTAAGCATCCTGTGCAAATAGGAACATTAGTGATGATAAGCTTTTGGATGCTTCCTTGTATTGCATGGAGTACAGGTTAAGGAAATGGCCAAAAAAATGATAAACTCCCAAATAATAGGGTTTGGTTTTGTGTTTTAAATAGTTCCCTCAAATGAAGAGAGTTGCACTTAGGGATTATACTTTACATCCTGATGGTTCTGGATGTGGAGTGAGACTTTCCCACCATCCTGCTATTCTGGCAGTCTTCCAAGGACAGCTGCTTTCATGAGGAACACTGCAATCTGCTGAACTCCCCCAGGATCCCCAAGAAAAAGGGCACCCTTGGGGAAAGATTTTGCATTAATATCCTTCAGGTCAATGTGGAGCAACTCTGAAAAAAGCAGCTGGTCTTTTGTTCCTCATGGCCTCATGCTCAGATCCATGGAGCTCTTCCATGCAGATCTCCATGAAAATGGAATGATTATGTTGAGTTTTCTCCCAATACCTAGATTTGACTGCCTGTGGCCTGCTAGATCTTTGCCCCCCTTACTTTGTAAAGTAAGAGGGGAAAGTTACAGATTAAAAGAACAGTTTTATTTCCAGAGTTTTAGCCTGATTTAAGGCAAGCACTCTGTGTTCTATTTGCTCCATCATTTCTTCTATTACATTATATATAAATATTCTAGTACAATTTTTCTACAAAAGTATTCAAGCAGTTAAACTCACATAAAACACAAAACCAGAATGCTTCTGAGGGATAAATGCAGCTGAACAGTATTCAAGTACTACAAACTTGAATTGCTACTTGGGTATGATAACAGTCAAGTTTTCTTGACCTCTGCTAAAGAAAATACCTGATTTTTAGTACCAAAGCCTGAGGATGGCAGATTAGGAGATCCCAGAGAATATCAACGAAGAAACCCACTTTTAAGGGAAGTGTTGTTTTACTAGACCAAGATTCATGTGTCTCTGGGTTCCCTGGAGGTGTTAAAAAAAACAGGTGGACATGATGGTTTAGTGGTTAGGGGTTGTAGGGCAGACGGTTGCACTTGATTGTCTTTAAGCTGTTTCCCAACCTTGATGATTCTGTGATTCTGTGACAGCACCTCTCTTTAATATTTCCTCAGCTGAATCTACAAAATAACAAAATGAAAGTTTATCCACTGGATTTCCTTAAATACTTCCGTTTGATCACTAGTAAAAGAAATGTTAGCAACTCCAACAGCATATATAGAATCCTTCACACACACAACCATATTTTTTGGCTGAGGTGTTCTTTATGTTCAAACTCTGGAGTTTGTTAGCCCCACAGTGCATCTGGTGTTGATTAGGAGAAGTTAGAAGGTCTGTAACCTCCTGAGGATCTGAATGGCATGGTACCCTAAACTTTTTGTTTTGATAGCTGCTTAAGCCTACTTCCCTGTATTGTATTAAGGCCTGGTTAAGTTTATACCAGACTTTAGCACCTTTCTGTTTTTCAATGGCATGGAATTTCAGAGCCCCTCTTAATTTACTTTACTTTTTTATACTTGCCCTTATAAGGAGCAATTCTTACATTCTGTTCATAAGCATGAGAGAGGCAAGAGTTGTGTTATCTGTGATTTGTCTGGTGATTTTACCTTCTGAAGAGTCCATGCAGTTGGGATTTTTTTTGTGTCATCCCCTCTGCCCCAACAGCCAAGACTTACTGTCTCAGCACTCGGTTTTTCTTCTTTTTAAACTGGAATCCCAAGGAGTGCTTTTAAAAAGGCTTTCAGAGAAAATGTTTGTGTGTCTTTTGTGTGGGAGGAGCCAAGAGCTTCCTGTGGAGAAGCAGTTAGGCTGAGTGATGTTCTAGGATTTGCCATTAATTTTTTCAGAACTTTTGCAGGCAAGTGAACTGTAAAGGCAGATTTCTGTTCTGTTGCCCACAGTTGGCAAGTGGACGTCCTTCCGCTTCTCCTTCTGCCACATCCATGCGGCGTTTTGCCGGTGGCCTGCAGCTTCATACCACAGATCTTGATGATATAAACTTAGATGAAGTTGACAAGCCTAAACCACATGTGGCACTGCCTCCTCCACCAGCACCCACTGTCACTCCGGCATCATCAGCTCATCCACTTCCTACACCAAATGTTCCACTTTCAAGAGGTCCAGCCCTTGCAGTAACACCAGCTTCCCAGGTGACCTCATGATCTGTTTGGATGCATGTGCCTTCACCATTCCCCTGCCTGGCCTCCCTCCCCTGCTCCATTACCCACTTGATCCACTGGATCTAACCATCTGCCATATCCAATGTTAAAAGAAGGAAAGGAATTATTTCATTGTTTCATAGCAGTGAATGCAATCCAGCAGTATTATTACTGAAAATTGTTTTTAAATTTAAGTTGAGAGGATTTTGCTCTCTTCTTCCTACATACGTTGTAACACTACCACATGCAAGTATTCGTGGGCAGAATGTATCAGTTAAAAATACAATTTGCACTTGAGTCTTTAAAGGTATTTTTAAATTGCAGACAGCAGATTAAATCATGGTTAGGTTTGAGAAAAACATCTGTGTAGTTAAAATTGTTTTTGAAAGTATTTTAAATACTCTCACTTTAGGAGAGAAATGGCAGCTGTTTCATCGTATTTCCATTTGCTAAGCACTGCAGTGGTATTCATGTACTTGTTTTTGTGGCAAAAGATTCTTACTTGTTTCAAACAGCAGAATCCTATAGCAGGATCCTACACTGTCACTTCTTCCCTACGCAGTTTTCTGCATGAATTGACTGACTGCATTGTTTGTTTCTGATGTGTTTTTTGCATGTTTACTTGGAAGTATTGGGCTTTACGTTTGCATGATTCTGGTTGGGGTGGGGAAGGATGTGCAAATTAAGCACTTCTCAGGTGAAACTGGCAAATTATTTCCATCTGAATAATTGTTCTAATGTGAACTGTGAATCTATCCTTATGAACTTAAGTAGACCTCTGATAGTGCTCAGTCTTTGTGTTTTATATATTGGAACAGCTAAGATTGTGCTTGATCCACTGAAATGGAGGTGTCGGATGCTCTTGTGGATAGCAGGTTTCCCAAGTTATTGGCAAAATAAAAAATAAGTGAAATGACATAAGTTTACAAAATACCAGCATTTAGAGAAATACATTCTCATAATGCTAATTTAAAACATATTCAGATAAAAGAAGTAATATGGGAACTGCTATACTAGATATGACCCCAAACCTATGTATTCTGGTATGTTTCTGGCTGTTTTTCACTGCTAGGTATGTTAGAGAAAAGACGTTAATAATTAAAGAAAACTGTGTCAGGTAAGAACAACAGAAAATAACATAGCCTTCAAAAATAAATCAGTTTTCACTATAATTAGCCTATGTTGGAAAAGAACTAAGCTCTTAGTAAAATATTAATAATGAGCCAAAGCTGCTTTGTTTATAAGTTGATAACCCAGTTTTCCTGATGTGGTTTCAGAAGTGGAAGAAAAATCAGAAGCTGGACAATATATCCCTGCTGCTTTTTAAAAAAGTTTTTTAACACCACAGATAAGCAGAAATGATGCATTTACTTGACTTCAGGGATTAAAGATCTTGTGTTTATGCCTGCTAGAGCCAAAAATAAGACAACTTTTGTTGTTCCATAAGTATAAATTTCTAATATTACTCAAACTGGTAAATCTTCTTTATGCTGCTGTTTTCTTTTTCCCCAGATCGTTTAATTTCAAATTCAGCTTGAAGAAATTCCGACTATTAGAATATCTGGTATAAACTGATCTGTTTCTCAAAATTATTATTGGCTCTATACTTTATATGAACCTGGTACTAAGTCTGTTACTGTTTAGGTTGTAAGGAACACCTCCCACGTGGGCAAAGTATCTTCTGTCTCAAGCAATCCACTGGTATGTCATGTGCTGCTAATAATGACTGTAGTTTTATCAACTTTCCATGTACTGCTAATGTCAAGGAAATATTAAGTTTTTGACTCTACATGGATAATTATTTTTACATTCAGCACTTACATTCATGTGCATGGATCCATCGCTGTGTTACAAGGTACCCAATACCAGTAGTGTAAGCGACTCCTAATGCTCTGAGAGCTTAATACTTCAGCACTTCAGCAACGTAAGGTCCATATTTGTGTGTTCTGTATGTCATGGAGCATATACTTCTTTCTGTCAACACATACAAGGAGCCAGGACCAAACTGTATTTACATATAATGGATGCTAAGAAGCAAGCTCCCTTCTCAGAAAAAACAACATTTGGTTGATAACTCTTTGCACTGATTTTGATACAGGATGGCTTAACAATACAATATATTTTGCTATGTAGATCAACATTAGTTGGGGGATATCCACAGGGACTTTGAAAGATCTAGTTCCAAAACTTTTTTCTTAATAACAAAATTTTAAAAAAAAGACAAAAAACTTAACACCAAAATTCCACTATTTAAAAAAAAAAAAAGTGGCTTGGCCCATTTTCTGGAAGAAATTCAAGTTCTTTCAGAGGATACAGCTTGTACTAAATGAGTGATATCTGGAATGCATCACATTTCCTATGAGAAACGTTGACAAGTGTGCTGAGAGTTGCTGGGGTTAAGTCATAAACTAAACCCACAGGGCTTAGTTTTGAGCTCTTGAGTAAAACTATGCTTGACGTCAATGACAATTCTAAGAAAGAAGTGTACAGTTGGGTTAGTACGTGCTGGATGATTAGGTCTCAGGTGTCTTTGGGTATCTGTAGAGACAAGAGTAGCTAATTATTGTGACCAACCCTTGCTTTTAAGTCAAGATAAGGTAACCTGAAATTCTTTATGGAAAGCTAATTGCTGGAGGCCTGGTGAATTTAATCTTAAAAGATCTGTTCAACTATAGATTAGTTAAAATCTCCTTTCAGGTCTGCTATGCTCTTAAACTCAACCTTAGTCATTTTTTTTCCCTGTAGTTTCTCATTCAGTACATTGCCTTTATGGAATAAATACCAAAATCAAGAAGGAGATTTTTCTATAACCTTGCTAGTGAAGTTAGAGCTGAGGGGGAAGAGCTACTATTTGGATGCTAGACAAAGTATGTTTTGCTCAGAAAAATTTCTAAGTCTTAGTTAAAATAATTCTGTAGCACTTGTACTACTGGTGTTAAGTTCGTAACTATAAATTATTTGAATTGAGGTATCTTGGTGAAATTGTAGATTTACACAAATTACATTGAATTGTAATTTTTTTTACGTTAACCCCATAGCAACTTGCTCCAAGTCCACCAACCCAACGACATCCAGGGGTACCAATAGTCTCTAAACCAGTCATGCTGCATCCTGACCCAAACTTTATGGTCAGGCCAACAATCAAATCAGAGGCCCTGGTAAGCCTTTTAATGTTCTTTTTTGAAGTCTTACAGTACTGTGGGATTTGTTGTTGACTTGTCCTCAAAGCATCAATGCTTGGCTTCTTTTTTGCTAACTAAAATGAATGTAGATTTTCAAGCAATCAGTAATGGTAAGTACAAAAAGGTATTTTTCTCTCTTCCACCCCGCTGGCCCCATGATCTAAAAGTCACTGTTAGTGACAATTGTTGTACTGGGATGCACAATTCCAGAGCACTGTAAAGCTTAGACTCTGTAGGAATTATTTTTTTATTTATTCATATGCTGGTTTTTACTTTTATAAATTCTTAATTACTATGTCAGGAACAAAGTAGTAAGAATTATTACACTATATTATTCTTTTGTGAGTAGCAATTATTATATTTGAAAAGTAGATATATACCTCATCATTTCCAGAGAAAAAAGGTGTGGTTTTGTGTCTTAGGCCATGCAGTGTTACTGCAAAGTTGACACACTATCAGATTATTTTTCTTAATTATTTTCCATTTCTGTTTCAAATATAAATGAAGAAAAAACTTAGGCTGAATATTTTAGGACCTACCATGTAGCATCTTTGGGAATTGGGGTATATGAGGGAAAATGAGCTGAGGCTTAGTGAAAAAAAAAAGATAATACTTCTCTGACAGTGATAACTCCCAAGTTACAGCCCTGAAAATTAATCTAAAATAGCTGGTGGACCTATTAGTAGTATTTGTTCTTCGGGTCATCATGACTTAACGTTTTGTCTGTTATATGCATGTGTGGACATGTGTATACATTAATGTGAGCAAGGCAGTGTACTGAAACGTGAGTTTTGCAATTGATGGAGAAAATATCACACTTGCATTTAATTTATCTAGTTACAAGCTTATGCTGTATCTGGCAATAAATGATGTGCACAATATTCTTGGCTGTCATTAATGTATGATGGATTTTTTTGTTGTTTTCTGCTTTAATAATTTAGATACTCTTGTTCCTGGATTTTCCTAGTTTGAACAAATTTAAATGATACTTAGTAACCAATTTTCCCAAAGTCTTAGTTGTGTTTATTTATAATTGAATTGAAATAATAAATGAAAGCAGATTTTGTAAGTTGCTTAAAAGAAGGCACATCCATGAGCTAAAAATAAATTCCAATCCCTCCAGATCCCTGTATACATATATATCTATCCCTGTAGATATTTTTCTCAGTTGCATGCATTGGAGCTTTCGTTTTTATTATGTTTAGTAATTCAGCATCTCTGAACACTATGAAATTCCTTGGGGCAGGAATGGACAGAGTAAAATCATAACCTTGCAGTTAATATAATCTAGCTTTTGAAAATAAATACTTGGAGTGCAAATATAAAGTAGTCTGCAAAATTGGTAATGACCTTATGGGGGATCAGATAGTCTTCATACAAATTTAAAATTTATTCTTTTTTCTCCTGACTCCTTACAATAGGTTTGAGAAATTTGCAATAATATCCACCTCCATAGGGAGACTTCATGTGATTTGTTATGCATGCACATTTTCCAAATCACAAGTGTGCTAAAATGTTACAGATGTCAATCATCTTCATTTCCAAACTGCCTTATATCAGTTGGAAGATCACAGTTTCAGTGGAAGCAGTATAAGACTTTGAGAGAAACATCAGTCTATAAATTGAGTTTGTAGACCTCTTACCTCTTTAATTTATGACTTAATGCACTAAAGAGTTTCCATCCTTGCTGCAGCCAAGTCACAGTAGTATGTGAAGTGAGACGTGTGTGGATACCAAAGTAGAGAGGTAGGCTACTTCTGTTAGTTAAAAAATGGAAAGGCCAGTGTATGACAAAACAGACAAGGAGAAATACCTGCCTGTCTCCAGAAATGGATCTCATGTGGAAAGAATGTTTTTTGTTTGAGGGGGGAGGGTTTCTTATTTAATTCAGTGGTTCTAGATACAGGACTGGTTCAGCTTCTCTGGCGATACTTCACTAAAAGGCAAAGTATCTTTTGCTGCCCTATTTCTTGTCTTACTAGAATTCACACACCTTATGGAACTCCAGTTTTTATGTCTTGATATGACATAATGCATATATTTGTTTCTACTTTGTTTTTATCTGAACTTAGCTGTCCCAAGTACCAAACTTTAGAAACTGAGGATGATGGATTTACTTGATTCAGACAGCTAATAAACTGAGCCTATACTGAAGCAATTAACTAGTAAAGAAGGTGAAATCTGTGAAAATAATAAAATAAACATGCTAGAGTGGGTAAAACATTCCTGTTATCTGGATGGTAGTTGGCCCAGATAAGAACAGAGAAGTCTCTGTTATGACTTAGTTTTTCATATTAACTTAATTCGGGTCAGATTTCTTAGGTCTTTTAATGGTTCATGAAAATCAAATGGTTTTCACTTATAAATCGGAAAATGATGGGTGAGGATTAAATCTTGAGTGTAGTCTTGAATGCTGAGGGCTGCTCTGAGTCAAAAATCAGTGTGAACTGTTTGTCTCTGCTGTACTAGAGTGAATTGGAATCCACTCATGGCAAAGCTAATTACATTTTGGCTCAGAGAAGGGGATTGTTATGATTCAGGGGGTTTTAGAGAAGCAAAACCAACATGAACATTAGTCTCTGCTTTCCCAGCTTTCACAAACATCCTGTTGTGTGAGTTAGAAGGCTTTGATACACTTGCTGCTACTGTAGATTTTTCCACCCTTAGGCCTTTGTGGTTGGATGCAGCATTTCTGTAACAAAGAGTGAATATTTAGGCTTTCCTATAGTTTGCAAGATTTGAAGCCTGATTCTGCAGGAAAATATGTGTAAGAAATCTTGTGGTATGGAAATGTGCATTGTTAATGTAGTTTCTCTAGAATCTTTACTCTTTGTATTCCTTTTACTGTACTATTTTACTGTGTGTCTTCTTTCATTTTGAAATAGTATAAGGAATGAGCACTAACAATGATTCAGTCCCTAGAAGAGAAAAAAAACAGTGAGACTATTTGTGAGTAGGTGATACTTATTTAGAGCAAAAAGCTAATATCTGGTTTGGCAATTTTCTTTCTTTTGCAGCCACACGAGATGTTTAAAAGGATGGTGGTTTACAATTCATCATTTAGATCTAACAAAAAACAAGTAAAATAACATTTTCTGTGTTATGTGTGGTACCTCTTGTCTTGACTGATCATAGGTTTAAAACTGTCCTTTCTAATCCTGTTGCTCAGTTTCTAAAATTGAGGATGCAAGACAGCCCTAGTGCATGAAAACTGCTAGTCTTTGTAAACCTGCAGTGTGTGCCTGTGGCTCCTGCTAGTCTAGACAAATGAAGAATGAAATGATAGTAAATACTTCAGATTGAACCATCTAACTACTTACATGGATATTGCCGTCTTTAAGGTAGTTGAACTCTAATGGGTCTGTTAGTGGCAAATTATTTTTCTTTATATATTTCTAAGATTTCCTTGTTTCTTTTAGCCTTGAGTTGCAATGCTGTCAGTAAAAAGGTATTTTCTCAGTTTAACAAGTAGAACTGTTATAATAATGTACTTATTGGTAGAAAATTAGAGGAACTGGTCGTGGAAAGCACCGCCACCATTCATACAACCTTTTTGCATTCTGTAGGATTTTGCTGCTGTATTTCTACTTTTATTGCTTTCCTCTGTAATAGTGATAAAGTTTTCATCTCTTCTTCTTTGGTTGACTAGTGGTTCAACAGATGGTTCCCTGAAGAAGTGAACATTGTGCATAACTTCTCTACTGCTGTAAAATGTGCCCATTTCTGTGCAAAACACCTTTCAAGTTAGATGTGTTGCCATGTTACATGAAAGTGTTGGTGCACAGTGGTGAGCTCAGTGGTAAACCATTAAGAATTACTTTTTTCTTTTGATCAGTTTCAATCCACATCTAGAAGGGAAAACTGGATTTGAGAGACATAAATCAAACTTTGAGATTGTTCAGTTGCCATTGAATGTTAGTATATTCTATATACATAATCAGATAAGTTATCAGCAAATGTGGATTTTGGGAAATTTTGTTCTATTGTGTAGTCTCAATTACTATTGACTATTGATGCTAGAAACTTAAGTGAGTAGTACCATTGGCTTAGGTGCTTGTGTCTTGTTTTGGGGTTGTTTTTTTCTTTAAGTAGTAACCTCACCTTTCATCTGGAAGTCCAGACAGATAATTGTTTCAGTGTAATCAAGCATTTTAATGTTCCAGATTCTACTTACGTTCAGTCCTACGAATGTCATTGTAAATCAAGAAAGGATTAGAATGGTCCTGAGATGTCCTGTATAGTGGGAGGGTAGTCTTCGTACTGTGGTTTCCACTGAAGTGTTGCTGGTATCCCTGTTGGGATATGGAGTGTGCATTCTGCTCTCCAAACTTGTGGTGCCCATTTCCAGAAAGATTTGTTACAGTTCAGTAGGTGTCTTCATTGTATCATAGCTGTATTTCTGTATTATTTGATCCGGATTGTGTCACTTCTTTGCTTACAGGTTTTTTGTTGTGGGGTTTAGAGGGTTTTTTCCCTGTTTAAAGATTACTTTCCCAGGAAAACTGTCTTCAAGGGCAACATCTGTTTTTCAAGAGGGTGACCTGGGACAAAGAGTTCAATGACTTCAGATCACGTAATGTATTTGTGACTTGGCTGAGGTTGGAGTCCTTTCCTCTCTGTTTCTTGCTCCAAGAGCATAGATATCTAGTTCAGCCATTATTTCAAAGGTCTATACAAATTCAGCTATTCAAACTATGAGTTGTTTAGGTAGCTGTCATTGTAAAATGTTTTCTTACCATTTTAGTAAAACTATTAATAATAAAATACACTTTGTCAATGAAAGAATTATTGGGTTTTTCCTGCACAGGATGAAATTCTACCCTTGCTGAAGTCTGTGATCCAATTCCCATTTATTTAGTTTCTCAAAGTTAGCAGTTAACAAATATAATTTTTATAACATACTAATTTAAACGGTGAATAAGGACTCTCATTTCTATTCCCAAAATATGTTTTTAATATGTATTTTCTTAAAAAAAAACCCACCAAAACCACCACCACCACCAAAGCAACCGCACTTATGGCAGTAAGCAAAGGTTCTGTAGTTGTGTCCTGAAGATATAGCTTTCTGGAGTCTGGGGAGACAAAGCCAGGCTTCAACCCTAACAAATGTTTCTTCTGTCTCAGAAGAAAAACATAAGGAGGATGTGGTTTGCCTAAGTTGTTATTCTGATCTCAGGGAAAAGGTGAAGAGAGGGGCAGCCTGCAGGAAAGCCAGCCATCAGCACCACTGTTGCATGGTCAAGTGCAGAGTTTTTATCAATCACCAGCATCACCCATACAGTTTCACCCGGAAACTGTTAATCCTTCTCAAGAAACCACTACCCAAACACCATTGATTACTGGTTGCTGACTCAGGGATTCTCGCATTCACGGAAAAGCTAACTTCTGCTTTTTCTGTGTAGTTGGTCTGACAAGGATAGTGCATTAGGTTTAGGAAGTTTAAGAAGTCGTGAGTCCTCTCAAAGCTTAAATCCTGCTCTACCCAACTACAACATTATCTTCCCCATTTCAGACACTCCCTGCCAGAACTTTTAAGTCCTTCACAGAACCATATGAAAAGAAAATCAGCTGTTGTCCTGTGTTTGCTTGTGATATGAAGCTAACTCCCTGAAACTTCATTGAAAGGAGGACAGGAGGGGGCTGTAAGAGAGTCCTACAACCCAGACACTGTGGAGTAGTGTTGCTGGATGTGTTGGATGGTGCCCAGTATGGCCATAGTCCCAAGAAACATTGCTCAGAAGAATGTGACAGAACATAGCTGCCCATGAGGCTTTGAAGATTTGTTTCTGTTCTGTCAGGTGTAGAGAGGAACTGTGGAGCTCACAGAGTGGTAAACTGTTCCTCACAGCTTCTCCATAGTGTGACCAGCTCAAACTGCTGATCTGTCATAAGGATTTGAAATATCTTCTGACTGTCAGGAGGGACTATTAGCTGTCTTTCTATGCCTTTCTCCACTTACCATCTTCTTTCATGGCTTACAGTTACATGTTCTGTCACTAATAAATAATATGGAATTTGTGCATTGAGTGTGTGCATGGGCCTGATGTTTTTACAATTGAGTATTGTTTTATTCTCAGGGCTTCCAGAAATATTTGGAAGATTTTGATCCATCTTCAATGGTAAGAAGAGAATTCAAATATGTCTTACTGTTTAATATGAAATACAGTAGAAAAACACATCCTTGATTTTGAGGGCTGGGAGGGGGTAAGAGTCTTGCTTGTTGGTTTGCTGGGGCTTGTGTAATTGTCTTTTCTAGTCATGTTGAAAAGGATCTTTCTTACAGGAAAATATGATCTGCTGTTCTGATCTTCCTCTAACACTGTTTTGGAGGAGGAAAAAGTCCCTCCCATAAACGACATAGATCAGCATAATAGCTTTGTGTTTTTGAGGTTGGAATGACTAATAATTTTATCTTCTTATAGTTTACCCCTGAGCAGATTATGGGAAAAGATGTACGACTACTACGAATTAAAAGGGTAAATACTATAATATTTGATTGATATTTAAAGGGTTCACCTAAGCATTACATGTACAGTCCCATTCACTGGGAAGAAGGAAAGTGTAAGCTCCTGTTGATAGCAAAGATTAACAGCCTTTTTTCTGTACTAAAACTCTTTTTTAATAGGAAGGATCATTAGACCTTGCAGTTGAGGGAGGAATTGATTCTCCCATTGGAAAGATAGTTGTGTCTGCCATCTATGAAGGGGGTGCTGCAGACAAACATGGTGAGTAACAATAAGGAATTTGAATGCTGCTGCAAAGTGGCTCCTTGCACTGTGGCTGACAGTTGAGGCTGACAACACCTTAGAGCAGCTGGTGTCATGAACATCAACTTGTCTCTGTTTATACCTTCAAGGTTGTTACCATCTCAGAGCTTGCTAGGCCTTTTCTCATGGGAATATTTACACTTCATTCCTGGCCTGCAAACCTGAGAGACAAAAGCAGTGGAATTATAGAGGGAAACCGTGGCAGGCATACTGAGAGATGGAGAGTCCTGTTACAGAACTGTATAGTTGGATTATCCAGACAGGCAAACTGCTGCTACAGAAAATATTATTGAACTGGTTTCTTACCGGTCATGATCAGATTACTGTGACTTTTCCATGCCTAAAAATTCCTTTTGGTTTTGCCTATAGCAAACTTTCTTGTCTATATCTTCACACCTAGTGAAGACACTTTTCATTATACTCAGTACTGCATAAATACAGGACAGAAAAGACTCAGAATATTTTTTGCTTACACGAATGTATATACCATATTGCTCTTTTCACCAGGAGGCATAGTGAAGGGGGATGAAATACTAGCTGTAAACGGCAAGATATTAATTGACAGCAGGCTGGCAGAAGCACAGGCAACTCTAGCAAAAGCTTGGAACATGGGTGGGGTAAGTAACCTGGAATACTTCCTCCTGCCTACAATGCTCATATGACCTACACTTTCCCTTCATGACATTGACACATTGAAACAAATAAGGCTGCAAACATCAAAAGTAACAGGTGTGCAATGTGCTACCACAGTGAGCTGAAATCCGCAGAAGGATAAAGCTTTTCTGAAAATCGTGTATGCAGTTTACTGTGAAAGTTCATGGCATTTAGCAACATGTCAAGACTGGTGTTTAAACAGTACATTCAGAGTGTTTATAATACATTTATCTATAGAATCTCTCTTTGATATTGAAGATTTGTATTCTGATTGGAATTTTATGATAATAGCTTATCTTTGGTTTCTTAATTTACAAGTAATGCTGCTTTTCAGCTATGGTGAGCATTTTCTCAGCAAGAACTGTATTAGTTGCTAAGATGAGCAAACACAGGGTGATTCTGAGAATAATTATTTTTAAAAGCTTGTTGCAAGACAAGTAGATTTTTCTTTAATTTAACAATACAAATCAAACAGCTCAATCTTGAAATGGGGTTCCTGTAGAATTCTTTTAATAGAATTCTTTCTGCTGCGCCCTGTGGTTTTCCAGGAACAGATTGCTTTCCTGATTCTGTATCTGATGTTCCATGGTGGTCCACTAGACATCTCTAAAAGCAGGATTTGGCAGCACGTTTGACTGTGCATTTTTTTGCAGGATTGGATTGACTTAGTCATTGCCGTATCACCTCCAAAAGAATATGATGATGAAATGTAAGTGTATAAGCTTTCAAGCTTTCTTTCTCTGGGGATTAAAATGCTAGTAGCAATAGTCTCTATTGTTTGCTTCTTTTCTCAGACACGTTTCAGGTATTTACTTATTATGGACTACATAACCTTCTGCATCATGTGGTTGCTAATTTGATAGTCATAAGTAGTTATTGTGCAGTACAGCAGTGGTTCCCAGACTTGTCAAAATGGTAATTCTCATGATTGGTTGTACGTGACTATACACTCATAGTTCTGGTTTAAGGCCTGAGGATTTTGGTTGTTTTCTTTTTTTAGAAATTATGTACTTTAGTCTGGATCATTTATTGTGTTCCCATGGGTCATAATTTGGGAAAACAATTTTTTTTTTTTTTAAAGTTAGATTGCAGATTCTATCCTTGTCTAAGCCAACCTTAGTGTAAAATTTTCAGAAGAGCTAAGTGATTTGGGTGTCTTGGCAATTTGTAACATTCACAGAGTCCATTTTTATAAAGGTAGTCAGTGTAGGTGTGAAACTGAGGAATTTGTGGCTTAAGGTGTGATAGTGGTATCAAGTTGATACAACTTGCTTTACCTTGGAGAAACAGTTTCAAAAGGAAAACCCATGTTTTCTAGCCTGACTAAAGAAAAAGATTTTAAGATATCCTTACTACCAAGTAAACTGGCAGAGGAAAGTTTCATAGTCACTGTTAACCCAGACTCTTGTATAGCATGCTAGAGTAACTGTGACTGTTATTTTTGTTTTCATGTTCTGTGTATTTAGCCCTACTATTCCCTCATCAACAGTCAGTCCCAACACACACAGAAAGGTTTTTGAAGGCAGTGCACCTGTGTACAGACAAGGGTATCTCCTGCAGCTGTAGCCACTGCAGTGTTCCCTCATGGTGAATAGCCAGACCTGGGTTAAACATGACTGTCCATTGTGAGGCTGCAATATTTTTTCAGCATGTGCCTGCTTGTGCATTGCATGCCATGCTTGCTTTTGTTCCTGGCATGCTGGACTGTTCTTTGGGCTTTTGCCATGACTGTCCCACTAAAATAGAAGTATTTAGTTTCTACTTCATACTCTCCCTTAAAGGCACTCTGCAGAGTTGGTTTATCATCCGCCAGACTATAAAATAAGTAGACTCTGCCTAATAAAGTAGCATTATTCTAATTTTTTTCCTTATCTGTGGACCACTGCTGTGGCTTTGTGAATTCTGAAGTATATAAGTAACATCAAATTACTTCCTTGTTAAGGCTTGTCCAAAGAACAAGTTTCCATTCGTATTAAATGAAAGTGTGCTTGTAAACAAGTATTCATGACTTTGGTTTTCACTGAAGTTTGCTTGTGATCATTTGTCAGTATACAATGGGTTTGTCAAAAAATTACCCTTGTTTCACAAACTCGGTTCACTGCATGTGTGTTTTCTGTGCTGTAATTATTGTAAGCACAGTCATAGATCTCTGGAAGGACCAAGGTAAGATTTCTGGTTGCATGTGGTTATTTGTGGTTTTCAAAACTAATACCTACAATCAAAACAACAGAAATCTAGTTACATAAATTTCTTTCTAGATAAGACTATAAATTGCACTACAGCTAACAGCATTTATTTCACTATCTCTTTTTCTTTCTGCAGGACATTTTTTTGAAGAAGGCTACAACAGAGAAATTAAGTCTTTCCCCTGGAGAAATTCCTTCCTCTGCTGCTCTGTAAATTAATATGAAATTAATAACCACATGAAATGCATCTTCATTTGAAAGAAATGTGTACCTGTAAATCGAACTAGAGACTGCTTATTCTTCAGGTAATTTGAGTAATTTCAAGTCATTCTATAGAGATACAGCAAGAGATTTTTGCAAGATCATTGAGAAGCACTGCCAGGCAGCATAGCTTGGTCTGTGAGAACTCCATCTATTTTTTGTTGTTTTGTGGGGCCAAATTTTGAAAATTATCTTCCAGTTTTCCTGGAAATAGACACCAAAATGACAAACTAAGTTAGAACACAGATGTCTGTTCCCACATACAACACTTGTGACTACATGTTCACAGGCCAGTTGGGGTGCGAAAATCCATATTTTTTACTCCGTACTTAGTGATTTTTCCCTGTGGAAATGGGAATGGATATAGGTAAAGTCAGTTCTCAGTCATATTCTTGTGGCTCTCTTAACATCCATTTCTGTTGCTCAGTTGTGAGGTTTTTTGAGAGTAAAAAACTTTGCTGGTAGAAGAACCAGTAATACCAGGAGTGCTAGCATTACAAAGAATAATTTTGTTGATGCTTGTACAGTATAATCTTTACCAGCAAAGTCAATAGCTAGAAAGTAGTCCAGGTAAAATTGTGTAGTCACAGTTATATGACTGAGTATTTGTATTGGTGACAAAAATTATTCCCTTGTATAGTCATGGCTGGAAATGTGGGTGTGAGTCACAGTGTGCACTAAGGTACCTTTTTCTTACTGAGACCATGTAAGTGACTAAGCTGTGCAGGAAGTAGTCACCAAGAGCAAAATGTTACACTTAGTGACATGTCTTCTGTTTAACTAAATTCCTTCAGACCATTAAATCTATACTAGCCTGCCTTTAAGTATGATTACAGTTGTAGACTTAGTAATTTATTTGTATTAATCTCCTTAAAAATATCCTTGTCTTCCTTAATTCCTTGTATCTGCCAGTTTGTATTCTGTTTTTCAAATTATGTTTAGATTTTTCTGGACTAATAAGAGTCAGTGAATAGTTCTTTGGCATATGAAATTCCTGCTCAAGTCTTGCCTTTTCAAGGTTTGGAAGCCCTCCTTTCTGTAACAGAGAAAAAAATAACAATTATGTTCCTGAGAACTCTGTATTTATACAGAGATGATTATTATTAATCATCTTTATTAATTTGCAATATTGCTCCAGTATGCCAGTTGATGTGTCTGGCAGGGTATACATGTTGTAAATGTTTAAAATTTTAACTCTTGCAACTAATTAGCAATAAAATTGTATTTGCCAAATGGAAGAAGTCTTGTTTCCTTTCTGTCTCTGAGTTTGTACATCATAGTAATAGTTAATCTGCTCAAGTACACAGATTCCTGACTTGATCTTTAATAACAGAATTCTTTGCAACACAATGCCACCCTTTTGGAATTGAAAAGAAAATTCACCCTGCACAGTAGGAAATTGTCACTTGCTGAGCTGCAGTAACCTTTTACTGAGTTCCTATGGGAAAATCTGGGCATTTGGTAGTTGGCAAGTTACTGAGTGCAGCTGCTCTGGTTTATTTTATTTGCTAGGTCTTTTGGTGCACCTGCCCAAAGCTGTAGACTTCCTACCCAGCAGACTAATAATCTAAATGCACCAGAATTAGCACCAGAGGGAAAATTGCACCAGGATGTACTCCTGCTGCTGCTCTGGTTCCCAGTTGCCTACGTACTGCAACCATCTGGACTGTATGACAATGCAGATAGAGTGATGCTATCAAATGTTCTCTTAAGGGATGCCCTGATGCTATGTACCTGCAAATAGAAAGCCACAGTAATGCAGCAGTAATGAACTTCAGCCTGCAACCAGTGCTTGATTGTGCTAAGAACTGCCTTGGCACACTAGGAAGTATAACACACAAAACTTCAAGGTTAGATATTAGAAAATTTTTTTTCTGGTGTTATTTTTTCAGAGACAAAAGGAGCACAGAAGACTGAGCTGGGAAATCTGTGGGAGTACCAACAGTTGAGTTTTAGCCTTGCTTCTTAGTCACAAAACTATCTTCTCCTCATCTACTCTGTTAACTTGATTTGCTTAGATACAGCTTAAAATGCATGAGAGGAAGTTGAGGAAATCCTTTACTGCTCATTACTACTTGTCTATAACCAAGTGTTACTTTGTGTTAAACCTGTGTTAGGGATGGCAAAGTTGCTTTAGGCAATGTAAGGAGGTGGTGTTAGAAAAAAGACCTTTATGAAATCTCAAAAGAAATCCTGAAATTCTAGTGAGGTAGGTTTTTTACTTCATTTCTGCTTTTCAGTGCCCTGGGACTGGATGACACCTTTCGTTTGCCAGCTAGCTCAAGGAGTTGGAGAAAGCTACAAGAAAATACTGTTTCCAAGCAACTTTTTCCTTTCTGTTACTTTGATGTGTGTGAGCATAGTGTCCCAGATGTGCATCATTTAAACAGGCACCCATTTGAGTTGCTACTGCATTGTTTTCTGGTGACTGCAAGAGTCACTGTATGTGTCCATGATTCACCCCAGTCCAGTCAAGCCAGCTGTGAAAAGGTAACAGTAGGGGACTGTCCCCAAAGGGGACTTAGGGTTTTTTCAGCCAATGCATAGTTTCCTTTGGGAGTATGGAAACTCTGACCTGATGCACAAAGCAGGAAGAAGTCCAAGTACTTCACTGACAGCATCATGAATGCTTCAAACCTCTTTTAACATATAAAATGTGTTTTTGTTTTTAATTTGCTGTAATCTCAGGGAATATGTCTAGTTTCTCAGAGCTGTTTGTTTGGTTAAGACCACTAAAACCCAGTATCTCTCTCTATGGGATAATAACCCAGAGGAAGAGTTTCTCAGATCCGTTAACAATCCTGATTCTCTCAGGAATGCCTTGGCTATGTAAGTCACAGTGTTGTCTTCAGCATACCCTCACAGTTACTCAACTGGAGCATGAATTACAGTAGAGACTTATGACTCTCATATCTGTTCTGTTAGCCTGTGCGTGCCTGTGTGCAGGCAAAAAAACCCCCATGAATCCTTATGGATCAAAACCATGACATGCATTACAGGATAGGAAGTACTGTTGTCTATTATGCATATGGATATTAGCACTGGGAAGGCTTTTATCAATTTATTGCTGCCATTCTACCACTTTAAGAACTTATAATTTAGCCATTATTTATCATATGACCATGGCATATTTAAAAGCCTGTAAGTGTGTCTCGAGTAAGTTATTATTTTTTAAAAAAAATTCCATTCATTAAAAAAATTACTAAAAAATAAAGGAGTGGTGTGTGTGCGTATACACACCAGTAAGATTTTTATCAATTTAACTTGAGTAGCATACATGTACGAATAATCTCAGCACTTCACAAGTATGTAACCCCTGAATATATGCAAGTGGTTTTAAACCCTCTTGCCATAAACACAGGAGTGAAAGCCATGGCTTCATGTCCAGGGACTTGTATCTGGTGGTAAGGAACTCAGTACATAATAGCTGGTACACGTTTTCTGTATGCTTTAGGTATCTGTTAATTTTGATAAAGCAGAGTCAAACTCAGGGTAGCTGTTGTGGAATTCTTAGCCACGTTGCGCCAAAAAAAATATCCCCCTGGGATCTTTGCTGACTTGAACAAACTGTTACCTTTACACCATCTACTGTAGAAAAGCCAGCATCTTACCTGTAAGGAGCTGGCCCTTAGGATTATGAAACAGATTAGTCTAAAATCCCTTATTATCACTTTATGAATAGTTAATAAGTGTTTGATTCTGATACTGAGTTTGTCCTCCAGTATTTTTTCTGCCTGTTTTATCTTTTGCCCTTGTTCTCAGGGGTTTCCTGTTTTTTCTGATCTTCAGAAATTTCTCGACCAGATTCCAAAATTCCCTTCTTGCAGACTTGAAATCTTGAAGAGGGTTCAGGTGGGCTGCTCACAAGTCATGCAAACTATTTTAATGGATATTTACTAGGATGTTTTCTTTCCTTCTTCCTAAGGAAGGAAGCAAAAAGTTTGCCTCTGCTGGAATACTTCTTCCTCTGTTACTAGATCTGCATTTGCTACATGATTAGAGGAAATATAATAGTACAGGACTTCAGTGGGACTTGGGGTTTGTATTTCCAACAAGGTAATTTGAGCTTTTATTATCTTCACTGAAAGCAACTAAGATGAAAGAGGAAGTGGAGAAGGA